TTTATCATTCAAGCTAGAAGGAAATTATATACACTTCAGGTAATTTACTAGTAATTGTCATTGCTTATATTCTGTGCAATCAATCAATTTATACATGGTTCTTGTTCTACTTATTTTGGGGCCAACACTGAATATTTTTTGCACAATAAAAAAAACTATTTTAATAAATTGTGAAGGGAAAACAGAATTCTACTGAAAAATCAAATTATGGGTAAAAAAGTAATTATTAAAAACCCCAAGTTCTGTTACCTGATTTCTTTTGTAAATTCCCTGTACAGTAGAACCTCAGAGTTACAAACACTTCGGAAATGGAGGTTGTTCATAACTCTGAAATATTCGTAACTCCGAACAAAATGTTGTGGTTGTTCTGTCAAAAGTTTACAACTTAATACAGATTTTAAACTTTATTATGAAGAATGCTGCTTTCCCTTTCATTTTTAGTAGTTTACATTTAACAGAATACTGGATTGTATTTGCCTTTTTTTTCTTTTTTTTGGTCTCTTCTGCTGCCTGGTTTTGTACTTCCAGTTCCAAATGAGGTGTGTGTTTGACTGGTCAGTTCATAACTGGTGTTCATAACTCCGAGGTTCTACTGTAATACTCTTTTGCCTTTTTGGCATGCGCTAGTCCATATTACTGAATAAGAATCAAAATTCACTTTAATTCATTCCGTTTATTTAATACCTTTTAAAGTTGAAAAGTAAACATAGTCATGCATTGTTTGTGTTGACTGAAAAAACAGTGGACTTGTAAGGCACTGGAACAATTGAAATAAATATAAAATGGGTGAAAAACTTTGACTTTAAAACAGCAAAAGGCATCATTTTAACATTATTTTGAAATGGATGGTCATATTCTCAGCTGTTGTAAATCGGCATCACTCCAATGAACGTCAGTGGAACTGCATCAGTTTACAGCAGGGGTGGATCAGGCCTGGAGTGCTCTCAATTGATCTATATTAGTGCTAGATCACAGCCTCCTTCCCTGAGTATCTCATAACTCTTGGTGTTTGCCATCTCTTCCTGGCTTCTACAGTGTCATTCAGGCTAATGGTTTCCTCTGAGCATGGTTTAGGCACCTTGCTGTTTCGCCATCCTCACTCGGGCTTGTTGTAAAGATGCCATGGTCAGTGGTTTCCATGGGGACACGCCAGTATGAAAACATTTTCACATTCCATAACTCCAATATCTTAAGCTGGTGTCTCCACACTCCTGGTATCAATCCTGCTGTCCTGACCCATTCTTTACATGTATGAAATCCCAATGATCTAATGGATTTTTTCCTAAGGTAAGGACTGCAAGATTAGCCCTAATTACTTAAATAGCAGTCACCACTGGTCTGTTCCTGAGAGGTGCCGAGAACCTCTTGCAAGATGCTAAGCACCCTCAAATGATTGGAGTTGTTCGTACTTGCAATCTCACAGGATGCATTCAGCATCTTGTAGGGGGATCTGGTTTAGTTCTGCATTGATTTTAAATGGTCTAATGTCCCTTGAAATGCTAATCATTTTCTTCTCTCTCCTCCTATTAAATTAATTCAGTTCCAGACTGACATAAGCTATATAGTTCCCATATATACAGTATAGCTTTGGTGGTAGATAAACAGAGTTTGTTCACAGAATCATTCTCTATAAATCCCTATTCCCACAATAATATTTCCATTTGCTGTAGGCTGTTCTACAGCCTGCAGCATGGTACCCAAGTAGAAAGCGATTAGCACCAGAACATGGAGTTAGTTTTCAAGACACGAACAATTCTTTTACTCCAGATGCTATATTGAAACTGCAGTGGTCCGTTGAAAAAATAGATGTAACCTACGGGGGAAAAGACTTGTTAAAAGGAATTGCAATCAGAAATTAATATCATTTGGGGGTTTGTTAAAAGTATTACTTCAAATAAAACGAAATCCTGGATTTTCAGACTAAATCTATTCAGCTGAATGATTTGCTATTTGAAACTGAGCTAAATTTTCAAATTGGCCTCATTCTGGCTCTTAAATTGGTCCCAGCGGTCAATATTTTGGATGCTCAGAAACTCGGTTCTTCTCTTTTTACATAGCATATGCCTGTGAAAATCATGTGGTTACTAATTTATTTAATTCCCTGATTTTCAAATGCTATTTAGAGACAATATAGTCTGGTCTCAGAAACATGGACACATTGTGTAGAGTTCTGATGCTGAGTTCTGACCCAGGGTTCTACCAGAGATCTGTTGGGTGGTTCTGGAAAAGATACTTCACCTTCCTTTCTGAGTTTCCCTCCTACAAAATCCTAAAACCTGCCCACCAAACTCACTCTTATATATAAAGCACTGTACAATTAAAAGGGAAGAAAACAATTTAAAATATCAGGAAATAATACATGGTGAAAATTTTCAAATGGAACACTTTTCCATCAGAAAATGTTGAATGACTATCACGAGAACATATTGATTGCATTGAAAATTTTGACAAAATCATTGAAATATTTCCTTTCTATAAGATCAATGTGCTTTGTTTCAACTTTATTGGTTTGATTTTTATATATTATGTTGCTTGAAATTTAACATTTCTATAAGATCGAAATGAAATATTTTTAAACAAATTGGAATAAGGTTGTTTCACAATTTCCAAAATGAATTTTTTTCAGAAATTTCATTTCACAGGAAAATTTGAACTTTTTGTTTTGATTTGGGATGGAAGGAAATTTGTATATGCTGGAAATTCTGAATTTGGACCAGCTCTAATGATAGTAATGAAAGGGAAAAAAATACCATTTTTTTGGTAGACTGCATCCACTCTATTGCCAATTCCTGGGAATTCTTCCTCTATCAGTCTGGGGTAGCCTTTTTCCATAACTTGGTTTTCTTCATCATAGCTATGTTAAACATGGAAAAAATACAAATTCAATGAACTTGCATGACTTGCAATCTGACAAATGTCCTATCGCCTTTAGGTACCTTGTTCAAAGATACCCAAGTTGTGAGTGGCTGGAAGTCACTAGATTGTCTATGCCAAATGAAATGGTGAGTATGAGTTCAATTCTCCAGGCCTCCTTATACCAGAAACACAACCTCAGCTGGTACAAGAACAATAAAGGTAAATTTTTAAAGGTTGGGTAATAAACTACAGAATTGAATGGCTAGATTGTACCTAGGTATATAGGGGCGATGGTGCTGCATGTCTGTTACTGGAGCAGGTAGGCAGAAAGTGTCAGGGGATGGATGGAACATTGGCTCTATGCCCAACTCATTGGCCAGCACAAGAAAACTAGAACAAAGTGGGTCAAATCTGCTGCTGGTTTAGGGCAGCAGTAACTTACAACCCTGTGCCACACAAAAAAATTGGCCCTTTTGTATACAATTAAACTTAGCAGAATTGAAAATAAGAACTAGTAATTCTCTAACATACCTCCAGTACTTGTCTCCAGTAAAAAAGAGAGTCTTGCCAGTGTCTTTAATGTGGACAGCCCCATCTATTGTTTTCATCTCTCTGGGGAATCCCAATTCATATATTTTTTTAGGGTAACCTTCAACTATGTCATAGCCATTCAGAGCCCAGAATTTCTTGCCTGTAAATAATGACGACAAAATGTTAATCTTTTATAAGCATCAATGGAAAGGTATTAGAAGAGTAAAACCCAGCAATAATGATTACATTGTTATTATTTGACATTATTAGTTTTATGTGACTTAGATCATATGGGGCCAGATCCTCACCTGGTGTAAAATGAAGCCATTACACCAGATGAGGACCTAACCTTCTAGTCTAAATTCTGCACTCTCCAGTCCATTGAAGATCTTGTAGTGTCACGCGGGGTGAAACCAATGGAAGTTTTGTTTGAGTGAGGACTATAGGATTTAACCCTAATTAGCTTTATTAAAGTAGACTGATTAAGATGCTTCTACTTTTCTGCCATTTGCAAAAGGCTTACCCCTAAATATGAACACATGATCTTTCATGGGGTTTTCATAAGCAGCATCAATCTTGTTTGGAAGTTCTGGCCAAAATGACTTAATTAACACCAGTTCTGCGTCAACCATCTGAGGATGTAGGCGCCAGAAGAACCTAATTCAGAAAGAGAAAATGGACTTTTTATCATCTTCTTCATGGTATGGCATGGTATTGTTTTCACAGTGTTTCACAGATATTAACTAATTTGGGGTTCTCAGTCTTTTCTATAATGTGGAGCACATTTTAATTCAAGGATAAGCTCCATCTCCTCTCCTAGCCATGATGGTTCAGACTACCTAGCTCATTCATAACATGAACACTTTCACAGGAGAGAAAAAACTGATGTCTTGATTTCATTTTGTCCAACTTTCTTCCCTTAAGAAGAGAAAGTACAGATAAACGTGGCAGTGCACCATGTAAGATTGCTGTGTGCAGTGCAATTTTGCACAGAAAATTAAATAATTTCTGAATTTTGGCAAAAATCCAGTGCAATCCCATGAAATGGTAAATATGTCTGCTTGATCATGTGGAGACTGACCCCCATTCACACCAGTTTCACATCAATATAACTGCATTGACTTCCAGGAATTCTTGATTGTCACCAGTGTGACAGGGAATCAAGCCCATATTTATGTTATAAAGGCTGCTTAAATGTGATATGCTATATAGCCCTTACAGTCATTTCTGTTGATTTCACAACCTATTTTAGTTGTGCTTAGTAAAAGAGATTAACCTCTAAGGGAGAAAGTTAGCAGATTTATTGGAAGATAGAAAAAGAACTAATCAATTATATTTTCAGAAACAAATGATAAAGTAATGGAAATTAAAAAGGCTGTACCAAGTGTAGTTCTAGTAGTGAGTTGGCTGGGCCCTATACAGCAAAAGAAGCATATGTGTAAACCATACAGTGCATCATTTATTGTTGTCTCACCTGTCCTTGAAGATCACCATTTCTCCTCGAAGTTCTGTTATTGCATCAAGTGACAAATTTTCATCACATTTCTCTGGAGTTTTGGGGTGTTTGGGGTTGGGATCTCTGTCTCCTGCACCTGTAACCATAAATTATAACTTAGCTTTGACTGCTTTTGTTCTTCTTCCATGTAAGATAACTATGTACTAAATGGGACACTGAAGAGTCCACCAGTGCCAGAATGAATACAACCATCAAGGACAAACTGTCTGGACTAATGATATTTGCTTTCCCTTCTTATTCTTCCTCTGGCAAATCATGTACCTATGTTTTGGGGTTTAGTTACGTTGCAAAGATATTTGTGACTAAAACTAAATGGGTGCCATTGACACCATGTCTTTAGGGCCTCTGAGAAGATTGCTTCCTCCCAAGGTCTCTCATATGGGCATTTCTGTTTCTCCTACTTCATAGTCTTCAATCATCCTCCCATGGGAGACAGCTCAGGGACCTTAAGTCCACTATAGCAGGTAACCAGTTAGCAGCAATCACCTGTGCACTTGACACTGCTTGCTACAGTTTCTGCATGACTGTTAAATGTGGGTGTCTTCTGACCCTGAGGCCCGGTTCCCAGGATCCAGGGTTTCTATCTTAATTTACCATGGTACTGACCATTGAGCAATAGGAACACCAGCAGCAGATTGCTAGCCCTAAGCTAAATTGCAGTGCAACATGTACATTCTAGGATACATGGATAAAATGGCAAAAGGAAGACAAACCATAGAGAGCTTGGATCCCTTGCACATCATCGTCAGGAAGCAAGAACCCAGTGTTGCCAGTGTAGGTGTAAATAGGGAACATGAGAGCTCCCGGGTCTCTGGAGTGCTCAAGTCCCAAAGAGTGACCAAACTCATGGGCAGCCACAAGAAACAAGTTGTATCCTATAAGAAAGCAAAAATACTATACACATGTATCTGAATGCAGTTTATTGCCTGATCCTCTTTCACAATGGCTTTTTTGCACTGATGATACAAAACAATTATATAGATCTCTGCATCTTCTAAGAAGTGAACATACATGAAATAATTAACTCTAAATATTATTACTCCATTTTACAGATGGGGATGCTGAGATACACAGTCCAATCCTGCTGTCTTCATCCAAGACAATGGGAATTTTGTTTGAGTAAGGGCCTAATAGCCTGAGCCCCTTACGTTTTTTCTTATACTAAATTGTATTTGAAAAATTCCCCACTATCACCAACCCCAGTTCAACTCAACCATCTTAGCAATGTTTGAAGTTGTAGGGTGAAATCCTGGTCCAATGAAGTTAATGGAAGTTTTGCCAGGATTCCATCCCTAGTGTAGATAGTCCATTGACCATCAATGCTATTTCCAGCACTGGATCAATTAAATCTGTTCCCAGCAAAGCTAGATGACACGGTGCTGAAAAACAGTGTCCGCAGTTGAAAAAATGTTAGTGACAACTGGATCAATTTTTCAAAAATGGCTCTTTGTGCAGACAAGGGCAAATATTTTCAAACTTCATAAAAGTGGCCTGATTTTCAGATATGGTGAGTATCTACAACTCCCACTGGCTTACTGGGGGTCACACCATCTGTCTGAGATCCAAGCTGGACACCCTCAAATTGCAAGTGAAACAATGAGATGTTTGAATAGTAAAAAACCCAAACTGCCTTGTTTCTCTGGGTTCATGGGTCATGTGATTCATTATTCTGTTGTATTCAGACAACTGACAGGTATTCTAGAAGAAAGTTGCAAATTCCAAATTTTAACACAAATAATTGTTTTGTCCATAATTCATGCAAGACGTGTACCATGCTCCTATCTACAATCTGGGATTAAAAACAGCTCCCTGTGACTTCAGTAACCAGTCACACAACATGAATAATAAAAAACAAATAGGGAACAGTCAAAGCAAACTGTTCACAAACAACATATAGGGTGAAAATTATCCATCCAAAGTATCTGGCAAATATTCTGAATAGCAAATACACTTTATGAAATCAGGATGAGATTGTGAATGATTTGCTATCCAAAAGGGACAAAATTCATAACCAATATTATTTGAAACAAATAGTGCACCCAGCTCTAGTTAAAGTGATCGTTAGAACTTATGTTACCTCTGGAATCAGTTGACCAGGTTTCATCATCGTCAAAATGGGCATCTCCTCCATAATTTGGTCCAGGAGGAAAAGCATGAGCCAGTAATCCAGAAGGTCCATCAAAGGGATAAAAGTCACCATGTTCTACAAAGCAACATTTAAAATACCGACAGCATTTACATCTAATTTTTAAACAGGTGAAAATATAATTAAACTACCAAAAAGTAATCTTTCTCTGTTACCTTTAGTTCCAAAGGAAATCATGATATCAGCAGTGCCACTACGAATTCTGGTAAAGTTCAGTGGTGTCACTTCAGACCAAACCTTGAATGCCTTTTTGAATGCTCTGTCCACTTCAGCACGTGTCAGATCTCGAGTGTAATTCACAATTCTATCAATCAGATAAAATATCTTCAATTAACCTTTCTGAAGGGCCAAGGAACTTTTCAATGTACCTCCATGAAAACCTACTTTTGACTGGGAGAAAGCCATTTCTCAAAAGCTGGATTATTAATGTATAGTGCTCCAAAAATAAAAATGTACATTTCCATCTATCAGTATCATTCAGAAAGATAATGACCTAATAGTTTGGGATTTGTTTGTTTGTTTGTTTGTTTGTTTGTTTTTTGCCATTATTATATGCACTAGAGAAACCCCAGGAAACTAAAAGTATGTTCTTTATTAAGATATTTTGTATAGATAATATGGGACTTTATTCAGTATTTTTTTATAAGTATTTTGAAGAGATATGAAATATCTCATGCACCTGACCATTCTGGAGAGACAATACATGATCGAGGGGACATTAAAGAGATACAGTGGTCATCATTGAAAACAATGTTTGTTAACAGCCTACTACATAGCATTATCAGAGATACCACTTTTATTTCCATATTCAATACATAGGGAAAATAGCCCTCTCTCTTTCTCTCTTGTTTACCACTCTTTGGTTTCCGGCAAATAGTGACTTTTTAATGGCATCATAGTGTGATAACTGAGTTCATTAAAGAAATTTAGGTAGGGCCTGATCCAAAGCCCACTAAAGTTAATGGTAAGACTCACATTGACTTCCATGAGCTATGGATCAGGGCCATATAGATTTTAAAACTGCAACATGAGATTTTTACGAAGTCTAGACTATCCTTTCTTCTTGCTGAGCTTGTCAACCTAATATACAATATAATGGCTGTTGAACAACTATATAGCAGGATAACTTGAAAATAAGAAACAATAACACTAAATATTATAATTTTACCTGTATGTTAAATTATTTTGTGACCATTTTAGTTTTCTAGGGAAGAAGTTGTATTCCCCCACATCGGGGACACCACATCTTGGCTGTTGCATCAGCTCGTATGTTTCTTCATCTAATATGCCAGTCACCTCCAGCCCAAAAAAAGACTGCATTTCTCGAAGTTTGGCTGCCACTGAGTTGGCATTCTTCTTCCTTATGCCAGCAGGACTGGAACGTAGGTTGTAATGTGTCTTTAGATAGCGCTAGGGAAAAAAATAAAATAATATTTCCAGTTTCCAAAGAACAAAGGCAATCAAACAGCCAACCTTAATATGTGAAGATTGATTTTATACTGTACCTCTGCAAACTGGAGGTCTTCCGTTGTGAATTCATCACTGTCTTCATGGGGAATAGGCAGTGTCAAACAATATGACAAGCCCAGCAAGAAAAGGAAGGCAGCTGCAAGGCTTAGATGCATCATGCTGAATTCTTGGGTTCTGAAACTCTGATTTTTAGAGTGTAAATACCTTTACTTTTATAGACCTAAACTGGTGAATCATCTCTTGTGGACAAGTTAGAATGTCCTTGTCATTGCAAAGTAAACATGCTTACACAGCTGGGTTTATTTCTTCATTCCAAGAAGTCCTGGTTTGGGCATCTGTGGTCCCACTAAGGGCTTAGAAACTATATCTTTATATAAACATGCTCTCAGCATATTTACAGATGCTGTGGGAAGTATTGTGAAGAAGCAACTCAGCATTGTTTCATTACTTTGCAATAACTTACACTGACCTACTTTTTTCGCCTTTGATAGGATAATTACTTTCCTTTTATTTTGTCAGACAAAGCGACACTAAATGACAAGCTCTGTGAACAGATGGATTGTCTTAAAGTAAAATAACTGCATAATTTTAATGTCTATACTCATTCATTAGCACATCAATTGTTTAGCAAACTTACCATCTTGATTCATAAGACAACAACAATGTGGAGTATATTATATTACTAACATGTTCCTGTTTTGGGGTTTCTTTATTTGTTTTAATTTTTAGTCTAAAACTGTAACAACAATTTTGTTGCTGGGATCGTGATAGTAGTGGGTCTCAGTACAGATCAGAATCATTTACAGACACATTTTCAGAAATGGATTTGGATCCCAGGTTTTGGCTACCAAGTTGAGATGTACCTGAAAACACAGCAACTGAAAATCAGTTGAAAATGCTGGCCTTAGAGAAGTATTTGATCAATGGCAAAGATGAGCCTGTAAAATGGCCAGTTCATGGAATCTGACTTCCCTTAAAAACAATAATATAATTTATGTGGGATACCGTCATAGGTCCATTAGGCACACAGTTACTACTGTCATGTGGGCTATGTAAAACCTTAAATAGGTAGATTCTGTTTGTATACAAAGCATGATAGAAGCATGTGATTACGATAATTTACAAAGCACAAGATGTAGTGAAACTGGTAATATGACAGCAGCGAATGCTACAGAATTTTTGAGTTTGAGGCTACTCCTTTTCTCCATAAAGTCAACTCAATCTCAGCTCATTCTGCGCTTTGGAAAATACAGACTGGCTACCATCACTGATTCTGTCCACGTCACATTACATTCTTACTTGCCTGTATGCCAGATCAAGGTTTTGTCAGTGTTGATATTCCCCCGTCACCTTCATTTAGTCTGATCTTCCATCAGAGACTTTATACTACACAACATGTCTCAGCCTAATTCAGCCTGTTGATGAAACAGGATCCAGTGAAGCTAAATGGGTAAAAATTCAGCCAGTTGCCCAAATGACAAATAATGTTTTATCAAGAGATGACAAATCGCAAAAATAGATGAAAGTGGGTGGAATTTTGTGCTGGATTATTTGGCCAAGTTTTTAATTTAACTGCAAGTTTGAACCAGTGCTAAATGTAGTCATAACAATTAGAGATGGAAAACACCTATTAAATCATCTTGTCCATTCGCCTACAAATGCAGGATTTTCCCTTTAGTATAGTTAAATGTGGAGGCCTCTGTTTTTTTAAACTATTAGGCAATGAGAAACACCTCCCTGGACTACCCAGCAGGGCTGTTCTAGTGTGGAATTTAGCTGGGCCCTGGGTTCTACAAACCTTAGAATGCGTCTGAGGACAATTCCCTTTCTACATGCCCAGACCTGCCCTGGCAAGCAATCAGAGTCCCAACCCATTCCTCTCCTCCATGCTGGAGCTAGGAGAAATGAGCCATGAAGGCTTACTTCCTTACCATGCAGTGTTGTGCTCTGAGCCCATTGGGTTACAGAGACCTCACATCAGACCCTTTCTTAACACACCAACCACACTGGAGCTTGCCAACATTGTGACAAATGTAATGTAAATCCCTAAACCAGACGTCCAAGATGCCAGATGGAAGGTGAAAAAATCTCACAGTCATTTCTCAATTTTCCCATATGGGGAAAAAAAATCCCTTTCAGACCCTCCATAAAAATCTGGTGATCAGTATAGTCCCCAGCAGCCCAGGAACTCCAGAAATAAAGGTGTGAAAGGGTGGTGCTGGAACAAAGCTAAAATGGCTACAAGCCAGCAGTGGGCAAAAACAGCCTCTGCTTCCTTCTCCTGCCTCTGGAAGTGGGAGCCAGTCAGTCGGTCTGTCATGACCCCAGTCATCCAATTGCAGTGGGAACAGGTAGGAGAGGCTCAGAGCTCAGAACTAGTTAAAGCCAAACCCCTGTCCCAGGGAGGGAGGGGGAAGGGAAATCAAGAGGAGCCAAATTCCCCTCCCTTTCTCTCTCTCCCCCTCCCATCACCCACAGGGGAAGGGAAGGCGAGGGGTATCGGCATCCTCGCCACTCCATGGCTCTCTAGTTACACGCCCCAGTTAGCAGGTGAGTGTTATCCAGTCCACCTTTAGATCCTTCCACGTGCACTCAGATACAGTGGTGGTAGAAAGGTAAATTCTCATCTCTTCTTAAATTACAGTTCTACTCTAAGAAGGAACTTTGACATAATAGGATTGTGGGGTTTCACGTTCTTGTGTTTCATTCATTCCTTGTCAAACTCATTCAGTTTGCCACTAAAAAGATAATTTTTCTAACTGCAGCATCTGCAAACTCCCCCTGGGTTGTGACAGTTACACTAGTTTCTTTTCCTCTCATGCATCAACATCAGCAATAAGTAGCTAAGTTCTTCTGCTTTGCTCATCCCCTCTCTCCTGCCCCTTCTCACCTGGCTGTGACTGGCAGCTCAGTTCTGGTGCTCTGCCCAGCCCCTACTCCTCACCCGACACTGATGAATCTCAGGTCATTGCTGCATTCCCACTCAGACCGCATATCATATAGCTGGCAACTCAATGCATAGGCAAATCACAGGTAATAACATGGTAAATTCTGGCATATAATCTTTCTAATAATAGATCCAATAATGATTTATTCATCTCCTACTTCCTTCCCTCTAAAAAAAATGCACCCCGAGTCCGTCAATTCTCAATATTGCATTATGTGGTATTGCTTTTAACCGGATTAAATGGTAGTGGCAGATCCTCAGTTAGTATTAATTGTCATAGCTCCACCGCCATCAGAAGAGCTCTAACAATTAACCCCACCTGAGTATCTGCCTTGTCGTGTTTAAAATAACCTTCCAAAGTAACCCTTTACTCAATTCAATCCCAACTGTTGTTGTAAAGTTCTGAGCATCACTGCTGTGTGGAACAGCAGCAAATCTGAGTCCTAAGCAGTCTCAAAGATGTGTGTTAGTATCCAGGAATAATTTAAACTCCTGTGGGTTTAAGATTTAAACTCCTGTGAATCCAGATGCTCTGAAATCAGCTTCCTCTAACTAAGGCAGCATGTAATAGAACAGCTGGTGTGTTTGTGCTCCACTGCCCACTACAGGCTGGAATTAGAAGTGACCCACTGTGTGTGTCAGGCTCTAGGCTACTAATATCAACTCTTTTCTTGCTCAGGTGGTAGGAGCAGTGCTTAATTTGTTATGAAAGAGTTGCTGGGGCTCAAGCAATTTTTTTACTTTCTTAACTGACATGGCAAGCCTAGAGGTGCCAGGACTAGGAACTGCCAAACCTCGAGGTGCCAGGGCTCAGCCCCCGCAAGCCCTGGCACAAATCAAGCACTGGGTAGGAGTCTGTGCTTTTGGAATAGAAGGCTACAATTTCTATGCTCATTGTCATAATGAAGTTCTGAGTGTCCATGGTGTGCAACACAGTGACACCGGCAAATTCCTAGGTGGTCACAGAGTAGGGTGACAAGATAGCAAATGTAAAAAATTGGGGCAGGAGGAGGGGTGTAATAGGTGCCTGCATAAGACAAAGCCCCGAATATCAGGACTGTCCCTATAAAATCAGGACATCTGATCACCCTATCATAGAGTTATTACAATAAGTATAGATTGGCTAAGTGATGATTAAAGGTGAGGATGGATAACCACTTACAAACAGTTGAAGGTTCTAAACATAGGAGGGAGAATAATTATTTAGGGACAAATGGGCAAAATTAAGAAAAGGGAACAGTGTTAGACTGTAGTATCATTCCCCCAAGGAAATGGTTTGAAGCCCTGAACTTTATTTAAGGTGAGACTAGTCAAAACACCAGTAAATATACTGCCAAGGACTGCCCTGCACTAGGAGGAGGATGGACCAGATAGCCAAAAAGTCCTCTTCCATCTCTAAGTTCTATGATTTAATGAGTGTTTTAAAGCTACTGTATTCAGGCTCCTGAGTACCTCGAAGTCCATAATGAAAGCACGCTTCTAAAGACTCTGTTTTTAGTGTCTTTTCAATAATTACCCTCAGGCCCCATGGCCCAAAGACACAGACATTTTATTTGTAGAAAAAAATTACACTGGGAATGATTTTTTTTTCTAGGCAAACACCTTAACTTATTCAGACATGTATTAAAGTATAAAGTTAAATATAGAAGGAAAAGGGGTAGCTTTTTGAACTTTAAATGTTAAAAGAAAATAGAAAAACAATCCACCCAACAGAAGATTCTGCATAATAAATGTTGGTCCTTTTCTATTTAAAGGCAATGTCCACAAATGAAAAGAAACTCCAGTAGTTTGGATGGTCTTTGCTGGTGGGTAGAAAGACATATACCAAAGAAAAAGGATAGGCTGAAAGGTTGTTTGAGTACATAATTATTTTATCACAAACACCAAAGAAAAATTTCTCAAAACGTTAAAATAGAAGTTGATTCATGAAAGATCATTTATAAAAGCCACCTTATGTGCAGGCGATGGGCTGAATCCTGCATTCCACACACACCCAGTTGTTTTCATTAGGGAGTTTTGGACATACAAGGAAGGCAGGCACGGATTGTATTACTATAATTATTTCTATTACACTCGTGGCTCAAGGCCCCAAGAGAGATGCAGGCCCCTTTTGCTAGACACTAATGGGAAAACACTATCTAAATGAAAAAGGCAGACAAGGGATAGGAGGAACTGGAAGTGAGTCATAGAGAGATCACATGACTTAAGCTG